GTCTCAACCTTCCTAATGCCGCGACCCTTTAATACAGTTCCTCATGTTGTGGTGACCCCCAATTTCATTGTTAGAGTAGAAAAAAAAATAAAGCATAGTGATTAATCACAAAAACAGTATGTAATTATATATGTGTTTTCCGATGGTCTTAGGCGACCCCTGTGAAAGGGTCGTTCTACCCCAAAGGGGTCGTGACCCACAGGTTGAGAACTGCTGCTCTAGCTAGTTCTGCATGACTTTCAGGCCTAGAACTCTGTGAGGAATGGGCATGTTGCCGTAAAAGGATATTCAGCATGGTGTTCCCCTTTGAGTATATGTAAAGTGCATATGAACTTCAGATACTCAGAAGCAGTAAAAGAACAGTAGGTCTAAAAGTGCTTTTATTAAAAAAGAGTTGGCAGTTTCCTCCTAAAAAGAGGTCAAGATGGCAGCATGCATAAGCACCTGTATTCAGTGCCTCCCACAACCACATCAAAATTACAACTAAAATACAGTACCATCATTCAGAACCGCCTGAAAGCTGGCTGAATGGAAGTCCTACAACTAGAGAACTAAAGAAGAAAGCACACTGGGGGGGGGAGGGGGAGGGAGACTCAGACCGGGCTTGTCTGACACCCACGTATGCCATTTTTTAATCAGGAGGGAGATTGTCTCTGCGGAGGCCACCCGTGAGGAGCAAGGGGTCCCAGCCCCACACCAGCCCCCAAGCCCAGGATTCCAGAACTGAGAAGTCCCTGCAACCATGGGCTATAAAAACCAGCGGTGATTGTGGCTGAGACACAGGCTGCTAGAGTCCGAGGTGTTCCATTTAACCCTTTTTTGGTCCAACGTGGAGGCTGACTCAACAGATGAGGCACTAGGAGCAGGTCCAACGTCGAGGCTGAGGTCGACACCACAAACTGGTTCAACATTCAATCCCGTCAATTAATTTGGACCAGACTGTTTGAATTCCAAAAATAAAAATGGACCGCAAAGGGTTAAAGAGCTGGCACACCTGGCAGCTTTGGAGGACCCAGACACATACAAGGAGGAACTGGATTGTCTGACATTAGGGCAGGAACTTAGGGGTGGTTTTCTTCCAGATGGGGGTGCTCACAGGGATCATTATTCCTGTGCTGGGACCTCCCCTGTCCCAGACCTGACTAGCAGCCATATCTGAGTCTCCATCAGCCTGGAGCACACTGTTTGCTCCACCCTGGTGATTCCCTGAGACCCCCACCCCATCCAATTTGCAGCCCCATCCATGCTGTCTGCAGCAGCATTTCCATAAGAATGACCTGTCCTGATTCAGGCTTCAGACTTTGCTAAAATCTCTCAAACAAGCTGCAGCTGATGACAGTATGCCTCAAACCTATCAATAAAAGGCCCAAGACCCAGCATTAGCACCAGCCTGCCTTACTTCACAGCTGGGCCTCACCTGGGCACCTCCAAGCTCAATACAAATACAAATAGCAACTGTCAGCTGATGCCTCTGTAGCTCCTGCCAGGTGACCCCAGGCAGTGGCTGACTTTGCACCTCCTTGGAGGCCTTAGAGCAGTGGTTCTCAACCGTGGCTGCACATTAGAATCACCTAGGAATCTTTTTAAAATTCTGATTTCTGGGCCTCATCCTCCAGAAATTCTGTTTCTTTGTTATGGGGTGGGACCACAACATTAGTAACAAAGAAACAGAATTTCCGGAGGATGAGGCCCAGAAATCAGGATTTTTAAAGATTCCCAGGTGATTCTAATGTGCAGCCAAAGTTGAGAACCACTGCCTTAGAGCCAGTGATTCTGGTGGACAACTTCAGACCATAGCAGATTACAATTCTACACATCCACAAACAACACACTCAAGAGGCAGATTCAGTGAGCACCAAAGCCCCACTGAAGCAAGTCCTGCTCCATAGGGATATCTCCTATACAGCAGCTCTCCCACAGCAGTCATAACTGGTCCTCACAGCCAATTAGTCTGGATGTCAGCTCCTCCCAGTGATACCAGTAGCAATTAAGGCTCAAATACAAGACTGTGCACACAGCTTACACAGGGACGCACATAGAGTGCCCAGCTCAGGTGACTGGGGAGGCTGAGCCACTGAGCCCTACAGGACAACTACTACACAAGGACACTCTACCAATTCCAGGAGACAAAGCAGCTCTACCTAATACAGAAACAAACACAGGGAAGCAGCCAAAATGCAAAGACAAAGAAATGTCACAAATGGAAGCAAGCAAACAACTAGGTATGGAGTTCAAAATCATGGTTATAAGGTTACTCAAGGATCTTCATGAGACTTTCAAGGATCTTAGTGAGGATGTCAAAGACATGAAAAGGGACCAGTCAGAAATTAACACGTTAAGCACTATACTTTCCATCCAGAAGGCAAAACAGGCTGGGCGCTTAACGTGTTAAGCATACACTACTGAAATAAAGAATAATTTACAGGGAATCAACAGTAGAGTAGAAGATTCCAAGAATCAAATCAATGATTTGGAATATGAATAAGAAAATAAGAAAAAAACACCCAATCAGAAGAGCAAAAAGAAAAAAAATCCAAAAATATGAAGATAATGTAAGGAGCCTCTGGGACAACTTCAAGTGTACCAACATTCGCATTATGGGGGTGCCAGAAGGAGAAGAGAGTGAGAAAGATATTGAAAACCTATTTGAAGAAATAATGACAGAAAACTTCCCCTACCTAGTGAAAGAAATAGACTTATAAGTCCAGTAAATGCAGAGTTCCAAACAAGAGGAGCGTACACCAAGACACGTCATAATTAAAATGCCAAGGGTTAAAAACAAAGAGAGAATCTTATAAGCTGCAAGAGAAAAGCAGTTACCAACAAGGTAGCACCCATACGACTGTGAGCTGACTTCTCAACAAAACTTTGCAGGCCAGAAGAGAATAGCAAGAAATATTCAAAGTGATTAACAGTAAAGACCTACAACCAAGATTACCCAACAAAGCTCTCATTTAGAACTGAGGGTCAGATAAAGAGCTTCACAAACAAGAAAAAGCTAAAGGAGTCCATCACCACCAAACCATGTTGAAAGGTATTCTTTAAGAGGAAGAGGAAGAGGAAGAGGAAAAAGAAGGGATTAAAAAGATGAACAATAGCAACAAATACATATCTATCAACAATTGAATCTAAAAATCAATATAAATGAACAAGAAATTTAATGAACAAAATAAATGTCAAAAAAATAAAATCAGAGGTATGGAAGCATGGAACAGATTGACAAATCTCAGAGGGAAGGGGGTAGGGTGGGAAGAGATTAACCAAAGATCTTACCTATGGACACAGACAGTAGCGGGGTGAAGGCCTGGGGTGGGATGGAAACCTGATTGGGGCGGGTGGGGAGGACACTTCTATATTACTCTCAACAATAAAGCTTTAAAAAATAAAATAAAAAAAGAGCTGGCACCTTCACAAATTATGTCTATGAAATTCCCTAAGACAAGATACTGGATTCTAAATTACAACTAATTCATTAAAATGAGATGGGACATATTACCCATAGAAATAATTACTGTACTATAATTTTCATTAAGATGCAATAAGTAGATACTTCCCAAGACACACATAATTGCAGGATCATAGAAGAAATGTATCTAAATGAATCTTCTCTTGAAACATTCAAGCCAGCTTACTGGACTCAATATTTATGAATTCATTTCTATTGACACTCCATGGCATCATGTTAATGAAGATTATATATACATACCATAAATTGTATCATTAAAGGAAAAGCCTCACTTTGACATTCCTATGTTATGAACAAATTTCCTACCACTCTGGAAATGGGAACCAGAAGGGAGTGGCAAGAAATATTCAGTGATA